AATTGGACCCTGATTATGTCATTATACCCCTCTGGGCCTCAGACAATGAAAAAGGAATGGAGTTTTATTGCAACTTTTCATCTCTGAAGAAATTGAACTCTAGCTGAGGCTCTCCTCCCATTTTTGTATACAACGTCCCATTGATGCCGCTCTGAATGAACCCCTATCTCATCATGATATATGGCCTGAGAACACAGAAGCAAAGAACATTTTAAAGGGCACTGTGCTACTGTAAAGTTAATGGCAATTAAACCAAGTTTAAGGGACATCAAGATGCAGTAGTACTCAGGAGGAAATTGTTGGGCTACATCTGGTCCCCTTTGGCAGTACCGTTGGATGAGACAAGAGAATTTGGCAGGATCTGGTGTGTGTGTCAGGATGAGGCATTCCCATTGCTTATGTTTGCTCTCTGGCCTTCTTCCCTCTGAACGAGGCCAGCTGCTTTAAAAGGCAAGCAGCATAGCATGGGAAGCTGGGGCCTGGCAGCTGTCTGTTGAGCAGCCTTCTTTCTGCCCAGTGAGGGAAGCAAGGGCATCAGGCCATGGGTTGCTAAACAAGTGGGTCAGCAGGGCAATGACATGTGGAGCGTGTGAGCCACTGGATGAGGAGGACACTTGGGAAGTTAGATTCTAAACCGCTCCAGACGCTCGAAATACAGGAGCCATCCTGGCATAAGCATCAGGCTGTCCACTGACGTTCTGTAACGTGTCGTTCAGTTTTGCCTTCATCAGGAGGGTATGTGGTGGGAAGAACACTGCCCTAATATCAATAAGATACGGGTTCCATCTTCAGCTCCCCACTCATTTGCTGTCTAACCTGAGGGAAGTCACTTCACTCTCTGCCTCTCAGTTGACCAGGCTATGGACAAAGAGAGGTCTCCTATGTACGCTCATCCTAGTCATCTAACAATTCTGGAATTGGCAATGTGCTCTTCGCACCTCTGTAAATCCAAAGTAGCCAGTGAGTCAGGCCATAAAGTGTTTGCCTTTTGCAAATAAGAAATCGTGGTCCAGAGTGACTGGCTGAAAGTCAGAGATCTCCTAATTCCTGGCTTAATATTCTTTCCAAGGCGCAATCCAACACCACCTTGACTCGCAGTGTGTTTTTGTTCCAGATAACTCAATCAGGTGGCTCTCTCAGAGCTGCAGCTGTTGCCCAGGAGGAAACGAGCCAATTTGGAAGTGGTTCTCATTTCTGCAGATGAAGGTGCCTTGTATCATGGTAACAGGAGCCAGGGGAGGTGCCCTTTCCCCAGTACTCTCCCTGAGTGATTTCAGTGGCGGATAGAGCAGTTATTCTCTAACTTCAACAGGAGAATCCTCAGAAGCTCTGCTTCAGGTGCTGATAGCTGGGCTCCACCCTGAGGACTTCTTCGGGCTTGCTTATTGGGTTTAGAATCTCCTGAGAGAAGACAATTCCGATGAGAAACCCCACAGAGAAATAACTACAAAGCCAGTCACACTCTCTGCCATCTGCCTTCGCCTGTCTGCTATGAGAAATCTGGCAGACCTGTGCTGGTGGAGGATGCCCAGGCTCTATTCCTAGCAAGGCTTAGCCCAAAGGAACCAGCTGACTAATGCTGTTTTACCACATATCTCACTTCCGTCCTTTTTAATCCGGTGGAGTGATTTTATCAACCCCGACATAAACGAACATGGGAAGGGCTCAGATCCCACTGGAAAGCAAAAACCATTGCATTTGGATAAATCACTTTTGATGTGGGATCAGAATATTAGACATATTACATTACTGGGGAAGCTCATTATAAACCCCTTCAAGATGTGCAGGCACTTTATGTTACGAACCACTAGTTAGATCAAAAAAAAAATGTTTCTTTTAGAGGTAACATAAATGACATCCTCAATATTTGAAGAAGTTAATTATATATTATAATTTTTAAAAGGTGAGTAGAACCCAAGAACAGTTACACCAAGAATAATACATAATTTTTAAATACATTCACAAATCAAAAGAAAAACCTTTGTTTCATCCTACATCTTAATCATTTGAGCTCAGAAAATATGATTCTGGAATGGTCAGCTAGCATCCAAAATATAGGAGTAAATTAATGACAAAAGTTCTCTTGTTTCTTGGGTTTCTGGGATCCATGGTAATTTATTACATAGTTTGAACACTAAAAAGATTAAAACATCTAACTTACAGCCCTTATTCTAAGTACTTAGTTCACGTTCCCTTATTATCTAATGTGAAGAGCCACTCACTCATTCTTCCAAATTCCTTACTCAGTGGTAGGCAAGAGAAGATCTTTTGCTGGTTTGATGCATCAAACAGCATTAAAAAAGTTAACAATAATAATAGTGAAAAAAAAATATACGTCTTCTTGGTTCCCTCTCCTCTTTTCATTTTCTCTGCTAAAGTCTTCAAGGCCTATATTGCAGTTCTATCTACCACTCAGTGCGATCTGATGCCACTCGAAGACCTTGTGGTTGCCAAACCTTCCACTCAGAAGTTCCTGGCCACAAATATTGGGGTGGGAAACTTGAATATGGGCCATCTAATGAAAGCTCCCCGCAGGACCACAGAAAATGAGTAAGTAGAGTAGACTGAACTATTGTTACTACTGTTCCCAACACATCATGCCCTCCCCTAGACCAGAATCCTATTGTCACACTGTTGTCATGTAACTTTGTGGTACCTTACACCAGAGGAGGCGGAGCCTATTTCCCTGGCCCACTGATGCTGGACGTGGCCACGTGGTTTCCTTTAGTCAACAGAATGGAGACAATGGTAAACAGGATGATCATTTTGAGCCAAGGCCTTACAGGCAAAGAGTATTCTGCTGGCCTCACTTGGAATTCTGTAATCCACCATGAAAGACCATGCCCTGGGTGGCATCTGGTCCCAGACTATGACAACTCATGAAGCAAGCCTGGACCCCCAACTGAAGCCAGCATCCCAACTAGTTCAGGAGAGCCAGGTCAGTTCAATGGAGTTCAAGCAAACCGCAACCAACCTGGAGATTCATGAGTAAAACATAAATATCTGGGTTATAAGCTATTTGTTCTGTTTCGGTTTTGGCCATGTAGCCTTATTGCCGCGATAGCTGACTGATAGCAATAGGTGAAGAAACCAGCCCAGAGAGAAAAATCTCAGCCAGGTATATAGCTTTGATGTACAAAAATACATTTATTTTCAACAATTTCAAAACCACTGTCTTTTTTTTTTTACAGTAGAAATATTCAAATGGAACAATAAAATCAAGAACAGTATATGTACATATACTGTATATATAGACATGACTCATGCATTTGTATTCCAGTATTTAGTACAAGTATTGCAACTGTCTGCCCCATTTAACCCTTGAAACAAAAAAGCAGGATCTCTAGAAGCACTCCTTTTCCTGATCTACGCTGTAGCCAGTCAGCCTTCTCTAGGTCACATTCTCTCAGGGTCTCACAAAGAAGGCGAACGATATCTCACAAAAATTAACAGGTACAAAATCCGGCCTTTCCTCCCATATATATATACAGTATATCATTTTGTAAAACAAGTGTACTCAGGCTGCGCCTGAAAAGAAAACAATGCTTACGGCATGGCTTAAAGTGACCCTAGGTAACAGAAGTGGTGTGTGCGAATGGGCGGAGGGGCCAGGGGGCTGGGAACGAGAAAGCTGGCTTGGAAAGCCGCTCACCCAGAGGCAAGAACTATCTTAAGGGAACTGAAGGCAGACATTTGACTTTAAGGAAGTTGTGTACATCTGACAAGCATATAGCACAGCTTTGCTAAAATCATCTTGGACTAATATCATGAAAGGCTAGCCCCTCTTTGGCCTGCAAGGGCTTACAGAGACTCATGATGTCGCAAATGCCCCATCCCTCCCAAGCGCTCTCACTCCTCCTGTGCCCAGATGCACTCACTAGGCCTCGCCCGAGGCCCAGGGGACTTTTCTGAGCTCAAAACAGCCCAAGAATTCTCCAGAAGGAATCCAACCAGAAAGCAGAAAAACGGTCCCTTTCTGACCCGCGGCCGAGCTTCTTTAGAGAAAACCCATTTTCTCAGGCTGATAAACATCCTCCACGCTTTCCTTTTGGAGGGGAAGCCTGTTGCCCCACCTGTGTCTCAGTTTGAAGTCTCTGGTGGGCTTCGTCTTGCAACTTCTTCCAGGTCACTGATGGCATAGAAAGCCCCCCATGTTCTAGGATGTCAGTCTACTCCTTCCTTAACGACTTGGCCCAAAGAAGCCCACCCCGCGCCCCTTTATATACATAAGTAGAAACCAGCTATGGCATGGACACAGAGATGCAAGAGTTAAGTGTGACAGACAACTGGAGAGCGTCCAGAACCCAACACGTCTAGCAGGCCTGGGGGTTGGTCAGCTCTGAGGGTGAGTGCATAAGCCAACACACACATCTTTCTTTTTTCTGTTTTCTTTTTTACTAAACATTAAATTATTTCTTAGGAAATAAAAAGCTATTTACATTGTAATTATATACAGTAAGCCATCTGTAGCCTCGCTATTGACATGCACGAGGCAGGGCCTCTTTCTCGTAAAGGTGTGCACGCTTTCTGCACCTACTTTCACTCCCCACCAACCCACCTCCTGTAGATCTAACTGGGAAATGGTCTGTGTTTTTTAGAGTGTGTGTGCTGGGGGGAGGGTGTGGGTGATGTTGCGGGGGCTGGAGGGGGGGACATGGGAGGTTAATGAGAAGCCAACTCAACTTAAAAAAAGAAAAAAAAATGAAGAGACCACGAGGAAAAGGAGTCCTCATATGGTCAGTGGCAGAATAAAGCAAGAAGGCCATGGGAAGATGCATCCTTTGCCCTTAGCACAAATACAGCCATTTATTCTTTTTGTCTCATTTTAATCAGCTAAGAATGCCTTTTGCCTCCCAAAGCTAAGCATCTGCCTGCTATTTATGAAGGGGCCCTTGGTAAACAAAAGGTAAAAAAGACATTTTCATTTTTTCCATAATAATAGTCATAGTAATCATCAAAAATAAAGTCAGAAAGATGGCTGACCACGTGGCTGGTTGGTATTAAACGCTAGTGCAGTTGGGGATCTCCTTTGTGCTTTCGCTGTTTGCAATGGTGGCAATGCCTCCTGCAGGGGAGAGAAGACAGACAGACAGACGGAACGAGGATGTCAGTTTCACAAGGGCAGGAATCTTGTCTATTTTATTCACTGCTACATACCAAGCCATCTTGAACGGGTGCTCGATAGGTATTTATTAAACGGGACACCTGGCTACTCTATACTACCAGCTCATTGGCTTCTGTCACCTATGTTTAAAGTGTCCGTTTCCCACAGCAGCACAGGAGGGGGGAGCAACGACTTGTCACCTTACACACCACTGATGACAACACTAAGAGCCAACATGCAGTGAACACGTCCTCTGCGGCAGGCACTGGGCTAATGACATACTCTCATTTCATTATCACCACAATTTTAGAAGGTAGGTACTATTATTCCCATTTCACAGATGAGGAATGTTCTAGAGCCCTCTTGCATGTGGTTATGAATTAGGACATCTAATGCTTTTGCTTCATAGAAGAAAGGAAAAATCCCAACGGTGATGGAGAGTTGGCTTCATCCCTCCCCCACTCTGACTCCAGCACTTTCCATCTTGGTCTATTTTTAAGGGAAGGGAAAAAAAAAAAAATCTGCCACTTTCATGTGGCCACAGGTGGCAGACAAATTTTAAAACTCGATTATGTCTCTGTAGCCAGCCGTTTCCCAACCCCCTCCAGTTTGACATGAGTTGACGGACAGGCCATGTGGGCTGACTGCCCTCACGTTTGGAGGATGGAGGACACAGGAGCTTGGTGATACCTGCACACATACCTATGACCCGGGTGTCCAGCTCTTTGTCCAGCAGTTCCTCGGGCTCGGTGAAGTCACTGAGTGTGATTTTGGGGGTGTTTTCACTTTGGCTCACTGACCCAATCATCTCCTGCTCCTTGTCGTGCTGGACTTGAGCATAGATGTTAATCCAGGGGATTTTCCTATAAAAATCAGATTATGATCACAGGGTATGCCAAACTTGGGCCACTGGGAGATTCTGGGCCATAAGGGGGAGGAATAAGCTATTTATAGGACAGGCCAAACGTCTGGGAAAGGGGTTGGTCACCCAGATATTGTAGCCGTGAGGCCAAGAAACACAAGGCCAAAGACCAGTTGTCCAGGGGAAGTGTAAACCACAGAACTCCCTGAAGAATGCACCTTCTTCTGGGGTAAACCAAACAGGTGTCAACAGAAGGGCAATGCTGCTAAGCAGGTATGCACTAAAACCCTTAAAATACTTATCCCTCACTAAGTTTTACAAGGAGCTGGACTTTGAGAGGCATAAGATTATATCACAGTGAAAAGACATCTTTTTCTAAGGTTGCATCAAGTTAATCAATTCACATTGGTTTCCTTTATGAAGAGCCAAGAAAAAAAAGGTTTCTAGCCATTGATCCTATCTTCAGAACACCACCTGTGGGCCAAAGATCTTAAATACTTGGATAGTCAGTTTCCTCATCTGCTCCATGGGAGTAACAATAGCTTCCTTGTAGGATTGTGTAAAGGATTAAGGCAAGGATTAAGAGAAGCTAAATAATCTCCTTCAAAGACACAAATGTTGTAGGTTTAGAAACAAGTCAGAAAGACTTAAGGTTGGACGAGCGGCTGGTTGAGACTGGAATTTTCTTAGAGGATTCATCTTCTGACCCCTCTCCATATCCCCTGACCCACTGGCTTCCAGGCCTGTAGCCTCCTGTGAATTCCTCTCACCGAATGCTTCTCAGATTTAATGTGCTTATTTCTCACCCGGGTTCTTGCTAATGTGCATTTGTGACTCGATAGGTCCAGACAGGATGGGGTGAAATAGTGCATTTCTGCCAAGCTCCCAGGTGACATTGAGGCTGCTGGTCTGAGCCTCAAACTTTGAGTTGCAAGAACCTAGTACATCAAACTCGTCCCCACCTTGGGGACTTGAAACCAGCTGTTCCCTCTAGAACACTCTTCTTTCTACTCTTCTAATGATGGTGTCCTTTTTGTCCTTCAGAACTTGGTTCTGAGAGACTTCTGACTACCCCACCTCTCCTGTGAAAAATATAGAATTATGGGACAGTGTTTATGAAATAAATGAATAGGGTGCTGGGTTTAGGGTGATGTAAGAGGCAAGTCTGCTGACTTTGTTTCCCATGTGTGCCGAATCTATATTCTCTGTCTTCTCTGCTGTAGATGCAATTTAGCACAGTGCTTGGCACATGGTTGATATTCAGTAAGTATTTGCTGAGTGAATGAACAGATGATCTCAAAACTTGTGCTCTTTCTACTTTCATATATTAGATTCTCAAACAAAAAGACCACAATTTTACCTCGGAATATTATCTCTAGAAGAGACCTCTCTTACCCCATTAAATGATGGGGAAATCAGATTAAAATCCAGACATTTCCTGAAGCTGATCACTGGCAATGATATTATTAAAACTTAAGGTATCTGACACTCACCCCAATCCAGAACATTCTGCGCATTTCTAAAGGAGAATCTCTCTGTTGCCCTACAACCAAGCAGTGGTGTTTTCAAGCTTCCACACTCCAACCCCAATGAGGTAGAGGATGGGAGCATTTAATGAGGTTTGCTTGTAGCTAATACATAAGATCCCAAAATAGGTAGGAAACATGGGTGGTTCCTACCACTCCTTTACATTCAGTTTTTGTTTCTTTAATGGTTTCTTTTCATACATTAAGAGAGGTGTCCTCGTGACTCCTACTGGTCTAAACCAGCTTAACATAATTTACAAGGACCCTACATGAATAGATTCTATGTGAGTCAGCAGACCGCAGGCTCTCTAAATATGTATAATTAAAAATTCATGCTGGCCCTTACTTTCCTCTTATCTAAATAGAAATGCAACCTAACGACTTAGATTTCTTCTAATCATAAAAGTACATATTACTCATGAGCGGTGGGATCAGCTGTAACATTTATTAGGTGCTGGAGGCGGTCAAATTCTCCTGATCCCACAAGTTTGTGTACTTCAGAACTGTAGCCAGAGTTCACGGCCTCCCCCTTGCTACCTCCCGAGTGATACCTGGGAGGATGTGGATAAATCTTCCCTTACAAAGATTGTTCACTTTATTTCAATCTCTAAACAACAGGCAGAAAATTCTTCAACATTTTTCAAAGATGGTTGGAAGGGATACAATTTTACGGCATCATGTGCACATTTTAAAAACTTGTCAAATTGCTTTTCATCTCTTAACACATGCACTCGAAGGATGGGAGAATATCAGACTAAGCCCCATTTTTGCAGGTAAGAAAGGTGGGAAAGAAAGAGATTTAGGGGCATCTCTTGGCTTACATATTCATATAGGTTTTAATAAGAGAAGGAAGATGGATCAACTGAGTCACCCATAAAAACTTCAGTTTCTGTTTGCTCCAGCTCTAAGTGTTAGGAGCCTGTGGGAGGAAATTTAGGTCTCTCTAAATTTCTCTGAAGCGAGTAGGCCTCAGACTGTGATGAAAGACTTGCTAAAAAAAAAAAAAAAAAAAAAAAAAAAAGGCTGGAAAAACATATAAAGGCTCAAAAGTTTTCTTGGATAGCCAGAAAAAAACCCAGATCTACAGTATAGAAAGAAAGTCTTGTTAGGCAGAATTTTCAGATAATAAAAGCCATATCATAATGATTTCTAATTACTTTGTCTAAAACTTCAGAAAATAACTATCCAAGAATAAGATCAAATGTGAGAAACAGGGTGATATTTACATAAAGGAAGCTTGGGGCTCACCATAGCTCTCTTCTCTTTTCCCTGTTAAGTGACCACTTGGGGCACTGAGATTGTTTTCAGTGCCTGGCACATAGTGGGCACTCAGTAAATGTTTGTTGGATGGATAAGTGGTTTAATGAGTTAATGCTGATGATTACACAGAGACAGTGTTGAGTCTGAAAACTCAGCGTGGCCAGTGATCTGGAAACAGATACACAACTGCCCTTTTTCTAGATGTACTGAATGTTTGCTAGCCAGGTGCAGGTATTTAAATTTAAATTAATTAAAGTTAAATACAATTTAAAATTCAGTTCCTCAGTCATACTAGTGGTTACTGCATTGGGCAGTATACATTACGGACATCGCAGAAAGTTCTATTGGTGATTAAAGAAACAAAGGAGCCTCTGGGAAGCACAGATAAGAACCTGACCTTTACTCATCAGCAAGCCCGGCACCCTCCAGAGAGCCATCAAGAGAGTTCCAGGTGATGGGGAGGGAAAAAAGACCAAAGAAATAAAAGAAGATCCAACAGGACCTCAACCAAAGGGCTTGAGCTTTGGGAAGAAAATTTCCAGAAACGGTAGCTAGAAAGGAAAAGGGAACGGATGATTGGTAAGTGTACTTAGCTGACTCTCCTGTTCATCCAGCCTGAGTGGTGTTTGTTCCCTGTGGGCCTTAGCTACACAGCTCACTGTCAGAGACACGGAAAGAGTTGGCTGATACTGGGGAACGACAGAGGTAGAATAATTCAGAGATGTCATTGCCTGGCAGAGATTCAAGAATTCCAATGTACACATTTAGAGATGCCTACATTAATAGGTTGACTGTCTAGGGAGTTTAGCAGCATTTATAAGAGAACAGAAAACTTCCTAAGTCACAGGATGTCTTGCCCTAGTTTGGAGATGCCTGACACAAATAGCTTTTTGCAGGACTTCTACTGCCCTTGTCCGGGGCAACCACGAGGTTCTAGAAGCCAAAAGGTGACAAATTTGGTTTAGTTTCTCTTCAAACTCCAGCAACCACTGGGCTTCCCCACAATCAAACCCTTGGATGAATGAAAGTGTGCTTTGCATGTAACTGCAGTATATCCACCAATGGGCCTTGCCTTGACTAGACCGTTTCTATATGGAATCTTTGTTCTCTACTTGTGATACAAAGGTTTGTGCCCATCTTCAAAGGCAACATGGGCAGGTGGGGTCGCATGTCTTGATCCAAAAGGATATGAATTCACACATTGGTCTATTAATTGAGTAGGAAGGTAAAACTCTGTCCTGATATGGAGGGTGTTGAAGGCTTCCCGCTAGTTTGGTGATGCTGAGATGAATATTGAGGAAAACCCATGTTCTGAAGCCTGAGCTACCCAAATAGAGGGCAGCGAATGAGGTCTGGGGGAGAGGGTGGAGCACAGCACCTTTACAACTGATGGCTTTCACAATCTAAAAGCATTACCTTCAGTATCTAGAAAGACTCCCAGGACCAAGTTTTGCTTTCAGAATGATTAATGATATTTTTACTTTAACCAGTCTTTGTATGAAGCACATTTCTGTGCCACTGATAGGATTTTTTGAGAGCCTACCATGTGCCGTGTTGGGACACAGAAGCCACCTTTGGACGTCATGTCCTCTGTTATCTAAAATAGCTTAGTGTTGTTGATTATTTAGTATGTACCAGGTATAGATGTTATTATATTTATGAGATGTTATTATATTTAAACTGCACAGTAAGAGGCGCCTGGGTGGCTCAGATGGTTAAGCGTCTGCCTTCAGCTCAGGTCATGATCCCAGGGTCCTGGGATCGAGCCCTGCATCGGGCTCCCTGCTCAGTGGGGAGTCTGCTTCTCCCTCTCCCTCTACTGTTCCCCCTGCTTGTGCTTTCTTGCTCTCTCTGTCAAATAAATAAATAAAATCTTAAAAAAAATAAATAAACTGCAAGTAAGCCTATTAAGTATTGTCTTCTCCATTTTACAGATAAAGAGATGAAGGCTTAGGGAGGCAGATTCAATTGCCCAAAGCTACAAATGCTAAGTTAAAACTGGGGGTCTGTCTCATTGCAGAGTTCATACTCTGCACTGGGACACCTCTTGGTAGAAGCTTATTCAAATAATGGTACAGAATTATTGACTTCAATTTCATGTTTTAATAAGAATGCTGTTGTGTCACCCCTCCTGTAGCCTTCAAACATAATTTCTGAATACATGTGAAGTTTAGTTTTCCTGATCAACTGCCCTTTAGAAACAGGAAAAAGAGGGAAAGGGTAAAGGTTGAATATTTTCAGCATGCAAATTTACACAGACCAGTAGCTGCAACACAAGATAGGAAAATGTGTGCGTGTGTGTGCGTGTGCGTGTGCGTGCATGCACGTGTGTGGGTCCATGTGTGCTCCAGATTTCAGCTGCATTTGGTCTACTTAACCACCCTAAATGGGTGGTAAGCTGTAGAAAAGATCTCCTGAATATCCAAGACCTTACTTTAGAAATTTAGGTGAGGTTTGAAAATTCTCTCCACTTCTCTTAAAGAGAATAAATTGATTTCATAGGCTATCCCTTATTTTCCTAACTCAATATACCTATAAATTGGATAGAGTTCAGATTCTTAAACCCATTTATTCCTTGACCCTCAACCATTCCTGCTTTCCCCCAATGCCAAACAGAGCTTCAAAGAGAATTAATTTCACCCATGTGGGATGAGTTTAGCAATGTTGGCTATAGGAAGAATCAGCTCCCAAGAATCCAGCTTCAATATCAAAATTGAGTGATAGTAGCACATACCTTTTAAACTTGTAGATTAGAAACACAGCCAGGCCAACAAACACCACTGACAAGAGCATAAGCATGGCCGAGCTGCTGTGCCCAGCACTGGAGTCCACCAACGGAGCTAGGAGGAAAAAGCAGATGGCTCACTTGGAAGCCACTAGATGGAGGGAGTTCCCATTGGAGAAAGGAGGCCGGCTGATGTCCCATCCTTATACCCAGTCTCCAACTGCCCTGTACTGTGTGCTCTCAGGAAGCTTGGTTTCAATGATGAAAATAGTATCCTCAATCACAGCTTCTTAGGACAAGTAAACTCCTCTGCTCTGCCTGGAGAAACTTACTGTTCTTGGTGTAAACTGAGTAATGTGTATCTAGCTAAGGGGAGTAGAGAAGAGGGGCTTGAGTGCTCTTTCTCTTAGAAGGCCTGAGTACCTGTCAACATAATTACAGGTGGCCCATTGGGAACTTTGGATTAAATACTGATGCAATGTTTCATTCTCTTCCTTTACACCATTCTGTGAAAACACTGCTGGGTGGGCACATTTAGAACCTCCCCAACTGAAAAGTCCTATATTAATAAGAGATATTTAGCAAATAGGCTCTCCTGGAGAGCCGATAGAGGATGCCCAATGGGACATACATTTTCAAATTCCTTTTACAAATCAATCACTAGAGCTGATCTCTGTATCAATTTAGATTTACCTGTTGTAAATCAAAAGGAGTTTTAAAGTTATCTCTTGTGGCCTCCCAACCAAGATTCATGGAATCGGAGAATTGTAGAAATTAAGACACCCTGAGGACTACCCACTATAATCCCGACTGTTGTGGATAAAAACAAATAAACAAACAAACAAACAAAAAACAATTAAGTCAAAGCCCAAGGAAATTGTAGATTTTCCCCCAAGGTCATCCAGAGATTCAATAGCAAAACCACTTCTAATGAAGTCTTCTTGCTACCTCAACAGGAAGCCCCAAGAAAGTTGTGATTAATCTTTCGTAACCATCACTACACACAAGAGCCCTGCCCACAAAGCTATTTTCAGGCCTTTGTGGAGAAGTGTCTGCTAATGATTTCCTCCCTTTTCTCCCCAGGATAATAGATCACCATCCCCATTTCCCCCTGGATCCCAGCAGGCACTCACCTAATGTCAGCTGTGTGACAAACACAATAACTTGAACCCCTGGCTTCAGCTCAAACTGCACCAAGTTTTGGTTTAGAGCATTAAACAGCATCTCTACAATCTGGAAAAAAAAAAAAGAGAGAGAGAGAGAGGTGCACAGGAAGACATGACATGAGACAGTCCTGCCTCGTGGAGCAAGAAACCAGGGTCAAGAGGCAAACAGTGACCAAGTTCAGTCAGGAGACAGGCTATTGGGACATCTTCATCAATCTGGTTCTCACAGGCCTCAGAGCCCTGCGAGGCCAAGGAAGTGGTTGGTGTTATTCGCTTACCCTGGAGAGCAGAGTGAGACAGAGAGAGGTATGTCCAAAGTCACTCAGTGAATTACAGTTGATAACAGACATCGATGTTTCATTCAATCCCTGGTTCAGTGCTTTTTCATCCATGCCTTTATAACTCACCGTAGCACAACCTATTGTGGTTTCCAATGAAAGGACATCAACCCATCATTAGTTCTTTAATCTAATGAAGTAACACACACAGGGTAGAGCGGCCCCTGCCAGGATGAAAGCCGGGATGTACATCCCCAACCCACTCCTCTGCTTTGTCTCTTTTGGAGACAATGGGAGGCAGACATCAAAGCGGCAGCGGCCTTCTTTTTATGGAATAATTTTTCCTCTTTACTTTACCCGTCAAGTCTCGGAACACATAACATCGATTTAATCACTCTGTAATTCCCACATGAAAGCTGGGGCCGACTTGGGCTATGGTCCCTAACTCTTATCTGGCTGTACGCGCCTTAATATCACAGCTGCTATTCATCACCGTAATTACCTATTTATCTAAACGGATGGATATTGTAGCTTCCAAATATAGTTCACACATGCCACTTGCTATTTCAGAATGAAGAGGTCTTGTAAAAGTGATGCGTGCATTGAGAAGCTGAATTTATTTCTGGCCAACTTGGGTGTGCAGCCCTGCACTGCGAGGATCGGCTTCATTTTCCAGAGGAATGGACTGTGATGGGTCTCTGCTGCCTAAGGATGACTGTGGACGGCCGTGGGGATGAGGTGGCAGCCAGGTGAGTATCGGAGGGACACGGAAGATGTCTGCACAATGACTGCCTTGTGTGGGAGCAGATGTGTGCTTCGTGTCGACGTTGAGAAGCCTCAAACTCACTTTTTTCTACCCCTCCTGACTTAGCGTCACAGGAAGGCAGGGAAGCGTGACGCAGAGCACAGCCCATGAGAGCCCAGCAGGAGCAGGGAGTGAGAGAGGGAGAACCAGCTCCTTGACTTCCGGGACGGCGTGCCCATCACAGGAACCACACGCCCATTCGATGAGGACGGTAAACCACAGTCCCTTTGGACATGCTGTTTCCTTAGCCAAAACGCAATGAAGCAATCCATCTCTCTCCACAGAAACACGTTTAAAAGCAGCTCATTTTCTCTCCTGAAGCAGAACTTAAATTGACCAGGATCTTTAAGGACAAGAAGCCTATTTTCCCAGAAACATACAGGGACACTCAGATCCCTCCTTCTCTCTCTCCTGTGTCCCCTTCCCCCTCACCCCCCAGGGGCAGGTCACTGGGCAGGAGACCTGAGGAAGTTGCGGGAACGCCAACTGCTGGAATGAGTGCTTCTGGGATGCCTTCCCTTCTTGTGTGCCGAATGCTCCAGTCTGCGTGCACCTGGGCATCTTCTGGGCAAGCCTGTTGTTTCTCACAGCCCTGGGTGCTGGACAGACGGACAGGCCGCTGGGCCAATGGGAGGAAACTCCCCTCCCCTTGTAGCAGGAGGTGAGGTTGTGTGCCCTTGGACTGGGAGGTGCAGGCAAGCACCCCCACCAAGCATTCCCTCACTTACTTGTTCCAGGTCCTCTTCGTTGCCTTTCCTCCGCTCAGTCAAGTTCTTGGGGGGAAGGATGAAGAGCTCTGCTGAAGTGGGGAGGCCAGGGAACACGGCCACCAGGATCTGGTCTTCCGGGACACCAGTCACCTGCAGAGAACACAGAGTGAAGCTGTGGGGGAGCCAGCCTCCCCGAGTCCATGACAAGGAGCAGAATACGCCCGGGGGTAAGGCTCACTTACACAAATGTGCTGCCTTACACGACCTGGGAGGCACGGGGCCCAGTATATACCCAGGCTTCCTTTCTGTTTCCCCATAGAGGGACTAGGATTGGTCTCGCTACCTCCCCTGGCTCTTACATACATTTTTACTGAAACTAAAATACTACAGTGATTTTCAAAATAGCATTTGCTAGGAACACTGTCTAAAGCCCCTCCCATATTTTCCATTTTTTCTGCACGGAGAGGACTAGAGCTTCTGGCAAAAGCATGAACGTACTGGCTGCCAGCAAGGAATAAGAGGTTACAAGCAAACGTGGGGAAATGCAAATTTAAAAAAGAACAAGACAAGCAGCACGATTTTCACTTACTAAAGCAGGATTTTTGTATTAAGTTAAAATTGCTAATATTGGTGAGGCTTCAGTTAAGAGGCTCTCTCATTTGTGGCTGGGCTCACTAAAAATCAATGCACATTGCCAATTTGCTTTTCAAAAGACTTACTTTAAGGCCATAAAAATATTCAGAGCCTTCATTCAGTAACTGTGACTTGGAGTGTTTGTCCTAAGGAAACGATCCAAAATATAGAAAAAACCACATACAGGAAGAAAAACATTATTTATAATAGCAAATAAAGGGGGAAAAACTGAAATATGCAAAAACTTAAGTAAATAATGGTATAATCACCCGATAGAATGTTATTTTACCATTACGATGATAATTAGTACAGTCAGCCAACATGGAAAAACACTTATGATAGCTGCATTCTGATCTATTTTCTTACATTCCTTTGGTTACAACCCTATAAAAATAAAAATGTGTAAGAGTAAAAAAGCAAAATAAAACACTAAAAGTTGTGTTAAGATGCTGAGATCATGACTGAATTTTTTTCTATTCAAAGGATTATATTGCTTTTTGATAAAAACTTAAAGGAAGCTTCTGTCTGGAGGTAAATTCCTAAAGCAAACAAGAGTCTGAGTCACCCCCCCACCCCTTGTAAAGAGTATGGTTATTCTTCCTTATGTGTCTCCTGAAGGTCTTTTATCCAGAACCCCTCCTCTTCTTCTGCCAATTCAAATAGGGTAGCTTCTGATTTGGCGGAAATACCTGCTTCCTCCAAGAAGTCTCCCCTGACTATCTCCACTTGCAGTGACCTCCTCCATGTTAGTCTCTCACACCAAGCACTCCCAGATACCATGTCTACCACATTTCAGGGACTTAGATCATCTTGGCTGTGACATAAATGTATCTGGCTGATATAATCTTTTCTCTGATAGGTTCTTATGAATGTTTACCCAAACATTCCTGGGGGTCTTTGTGGCTATCTCACTGTTCTGAAGATGCTTGCACAGAGTAGAGACTCAATAAACAGTTGCTGGATTGAATAGAAGTTGGGGAGTTGTTTCCCATCCACTTAGCTCTGATTCCCATTTGGGACTAGGCTCACAGATTGGAGTCCATTCTCAGGGACATGATAACAGTGAGAGCACCAACTTGCAGAGAACTAACAAGTAGCATTCAGAAGCCTGAAAAGTCCCCAAACACAGAGGATCCCTGGGAACTGGCTTTGCCAGATGCCTTGGTTTCCTGATGGAAGGCATGATCCCAAGTAGCTGAAAGTCTTGGTGCTCAAGTCCATGGGGCTAGAAGGTCTCATCCCTCATCCTAACCAGCCAGGGGAAGCAAGTCTCTGGAGACCATTCTGAAGGGAAAAGCACAGAGAAGCACCCAGTGGAGTGAAGGGGGTAAGGCTGTGAGCACCATTGTTAGGCTGACCCTTCATCCCAGGGAATAGTGGTCTCGGGGTGGGGGGGGAGGGGTCAGTCAGTTAGCAACCTTGGAGGGACTCTGGAGCTGTCTAGATTCACTTAATCCCATCCAAAGGGACACTTGAGAGACAGGTCCTCATGAGATTTAAGGCCCAGGCATCAACCGACATGGCTGATTATTATTATTTATTAGAATTATTATTATAATTACCAAGTCATTTATTAAAAAGCTAGTATGTTTTTAATAAACACAATCATGCAAAATATACACAATTCTGGATGTTTCACAGTCACAGGGCATATTAAGAGCCGTCACATTTCCATCCCTTTCTATGAATAATCTTTTTGTAAAAAGATTTAAGATGAAGATCGTCTGGTAGACAACTCCCCACAGGAATGCTCTCTTGAATCACTCTCTTTTCCTTCTTCTTCTTCTTTTTCTTTTCTGTCAGCTCCTTTTCCAGGTCCTTCTCTGGATCATCCTCCTCTGCCTTAGGGAGCATCAGTGTTCGTGTCTGCCCTGCCCCCCACCCCCTGGGGGTGGTCTAATCGCCTCCACAGTCTCAGGTCCCACATCTCTGCCTTCGTTCAGGGAACATCCACTTGACCTTCAGATCCATATTTTCAATTCCCCTGATTTTCTTCCCAACTGTTCCTCATGTGCTCCAAACTCACATAAAAAAAAAATCACATCGTTGGGGCGCCTGGGTAGCTCAGTCAGCTAAATGTCCAACTCTGGATTTCAGCTCAGGTCATGATCTCAGGGTCATGAGATTGAGCCCTGCATCAGGCTCCATGCTCAGCGGGGAGTCTGCTTGTCCCTCTCCCTCTGCCCCTCCCCGCCATTCGCTTGCTCTCAATCCCTCTCTCTCAAATAAATAGACAGATAGATAGATAGATAGATAGATAGATAGATAGATAGATAGATAAATAAATAAATAATAATCACACCATCACTGCTCCTCAAGCATGTTTCTCTGACATGGTCCAACAAAGGGTGAGGCCATATCCTCCCTGCTCTGGAATCAGAAAGCTTCTCTTCTTCTCATTCCCACTACATACATACTATTAGTCACCAATTCTACCATTCAACTTCCCAAGTAACCTTGGACTCTTTCTTCTTCGAGATCTTGTTACCTCTGGTCTGGAGAACTGCAGTAGTCTTTCAACTGGTCACTTTTTGTGAAATTTCTCCCCCACTCTATTCACTTCCCACCTCAGCAGCCCATCCTCTGTACTGTTACCAGAATGGGTGTCTGAATATAAATCTATTGTCAGCATTTTTTCCTTAAATTAAGAAAGCATTTTTCCAATTCCCAGTGCTTACTGGGTGTCTGTCGGACTTCTGCGAGCTTCTCTGATGCTTCATGAGCTGACCATCCTAGCTCAAGTCCAGCTGCACCGGCCTTACAACTTATAGAATACCTACACTAGACTCTGCCATTTCCCCAATATGTTGTGTTCTTTCAGTAGTCCATGGCTTTGCACACACTGTTCGTTCTATATGAAAGACACCATCCTCTTTCTGTTAACTGTCATGTATCCTTTAAAACTGAGCTCAAGTATTCCCTGCAAAGACTATTGTAATAGCTCACAAATATTTAATGAATCACAAATAACGTGCTAAGCCTGCATTCCCTGGATAGAGTGAATCATACTTTTCTCCATACTCCATGCTGGCCATGCCTCTGCCATAGAACTAGTCACATGTTAGACTCACCTCTACATTTGAAAACCCATGCTGCATTTTTCATTATGTTCTAGTGCCTTGTTCTGAGCAAAGGGTTAATAAAACCCTTTCAAAGCTTTCTAAGGCCAATCTGACCATGGGTTAACCCTAGAACTCTACCACCCTGATGGCATGTTCTGTTTTCTGGCCTGTAGCCTTCGGATTGTCATGTATAGTCAATGGTGGTCTTGTGAGTCTGAATACCTGGTTAAGAAACCCCCTTGGTGGGCAAAGAACAAGCCTAGTGAATGAGATTTGTATAGACTCAATGAGTGCTCCCTCCATTAGTTCATTAAAGGGGTCCAGCTCTTGTCTTAGAAAAATTCAGTATAAAGATAGGGCTCATTCTCATCCCTAAACACTGGTTCCTGTCTGTCTGTCTCTCCCCCCACCCCCCTTCCCTCCATCCTTCCTTCACCCTCCTCATTCTTATCTCTCTTTTGACAGAGAGATAATCCTTATATAACTGTAGGATGGTGCTTTTAACCCATGAAAATTTATTCTGGATAGACCATTTGGTTCTTTCCTTTACCTAATAACATGTAAGCAAAGATAAAGCCGACTTACTTTAACCAAAGCTCTCTTGATGACACTGCCAATATCTTGCCTCCACTCAGGAATGTCAGGGTTGTGGTAATCCAGGTTTGGAGAGAATGACAAGAGTTGGGACTGGAAATATTCTGCAAGGACAGAGGGTGTGTGAGTGGGGCGGAGAGAGGGGTGGCGGACTAGCAGATGCCATAATCACTGTGCTTGAGGGAAAGGGTCCACTCTTCCATGTGGCCTCAGCTAAAATCCCTTCCTCTTGGCGTGTTTCTTGGCTTCTGAAAGAAGGTGGGATTTGGTGACTGGAAGGGGATTTATGCTCCTACCATGTAGGAGTTCCTTGCGTCTTAAGCCCTTCTTCTGGCAAAAGAATATTACTTGAAATGAAAGATAAGTATGAAACCCCAGAAGAAGGAGGTTATTTGCTACTCGTGATACTATCATGCGAAGCCAATGATAAAGCTTTGACAAGCTGGGCTTGGTTGGAAGGGGGCCTTGCCACTTGTCCTCCCCTTGGTTCCTCTGACCTTCCTCCTAGAAACTATCTCAGAGGATCAGATCGAAATCCTGTGTGTAGGGTGTGGGTAATGTTCAGTTTCTTGACCCGGCTGGTGGGTACACACATCTGTTTACTTTGTGGTAAGTCATGAAACTAAACACTTGTGATGTGTGCACTCTTCTGCATTAAATTTACACTTCAGTAAAAATGTTTGCTTGAAAAAAGGTCCTCCAGGTACCTGATGAGAGAGCCAGAGTATCAAATTTGCAGAAATGTAGGAAAAGGTGCTCACCTGATGTGAGGCTGAAGAAATATGTTCTGAGTCAGAGGATCACATACCTTAGTACAACTTTTTTAGAAAGCCCCAGGTATAGTGGCAGTCTTTAGGGGCCTGGGGGAGGTTGTGTGGGATGGTGCTGGGAGCAAAACTTGATTTAAAATAAATTTAATAATTAGGAGTGTTTTTCCGGATTGGAACAGGATAGCGGCCTTATCCACTCTTCTTTCTATTTCTGCCCTCATATTCTTAGCCTTACTCTTGAGCCTTTGCAGCCAAGGATGCTAGAATTTTCCAACAATCGGAATATGTACTTCATCTCAGTAACTCAGCCTTTAGTTCTGCAGGGTCAGGGAACCATGGCTCCTCTTTTGAAATCACTGGTCCCCATGGTCACAGAGGGTCGGTGCTGCATACATATCATAGATACCTCAGCAGGACATCGGATCTAGATGCTTCTATGATAGTCTTTCTAGTTTAGCAAACTTCAACTTATGATATGTGTTTGTCTAATGAGACCCCATCAGGATGTGATACAGATACATCTTAGGGAATAACAGATGCTTGTCTATGCCCATGTGTGCCAGTTTCTCTTACAGCCTCAGTGTCTATTCAGGAACAAGGTAGAAAGTATGTTTGGAAAATTCTGGTTGACCTACATAATTTTCCCCTAGCCTGGGGAATTGCCAAAGCAGTCAGGGGTTGCCATGAGGGTAGGCAAAGGGGATTGGTTGGGCCGGAGGGAACATCACAGAACAACTTTCAGAGCTTACCGTGCACAGCAATGTCTTTTGTGTCCTGGATAAGGGCATTCCCAGCAGCCACCTGGACAGTGATGGTGTTGGTGCCTTCGGCCAGGAACGTGAAGGAAATGCTGCTGTCCAAGGTGATGAGGGGCTAAAAGACAGAAGGAGAAATAACTCATTTAGTCCTCTGTGGGATATCAGATTTGCTTCCTTTCTTACAAATCTCAGACTGTCACAAATCTGCATGGTATTTGTGTGTCCCCAAGGGATCCTAACTTGAAACAAGAAAAAAGAAAATGGCTTTTCATAGCTTTCAAAAACTGTGATTATATCCAGTATCCAGGAAGAGTATTAATATCCTTGAAATACACTGTAAAATGTAATCCCAAAAGATGAAGATAAGACTGGACACTCTGGATTTTGCAAGTCACTCTGTTCCTTCTCCTGGGGCAAAGTAGAAGCAACATTTGTAACCTATTCCAGCTGGCTCTGGGAATAGATCATTTATTTTTCTTCTCCTCCAATATTCTGTGTCACTTACATTTCTTCCTATATTCCACTGGACTACAAGACCTTTCACAGAGGTGGCCACATTTTATTTACTTCTGTCTCATCCATCCTGGCACATTACTTTCATATAGTAGAATATATATGTTAGTTGGATGCATGGTCCAATAACTGGCATTTTGCTTTATTATATCTGTGTTTTCCATTGCAAAGCATTTCTAACATTTTAAATAGGTTGGAAAATAATAAACATACATATCTGTGACCGTTTTAATTCTTTTTTTCTTTTTCTGCTTTATTTTCCTGATCACAACATATACAGGTTTCCCCCAAGGATAGAGAGAAACAGAATATATTACTTTCCTGAGGAGTAGGACCTTGATAAAAGCAGGTGCTTCTGGGATAGAAGAATGCAGATCCTGAGGTTGAAGAGTCATTATTCAGGGGTCATCTTAAGGCCTGTGCCCTTCCAAGTTCCTGTTGTTTGCAAGGTACGACATAACAGTAGGAAGCTGCTCTAAGGCAGCTCTTAAAGAGATGTTACAAGCACAGATGAGCAGACTCCCTCTCCTCTTTGTGTGTCAGGACAGCCATGGGATGGAGACCAAGAAGGTAACCGTTAGGGGAGGCACAGAGCAGCTCTTGAAGGGCGTGGGTATGGGCCAGCACTCAGGCACTCCTGACTGAACATGGCCTAGACGTGTGTGCCAGAGTCCTGCAGAGGCTCAAAGGTGTGGCTTTCAGACAGCGTCCCTACTGCAAGACTAGAATTGCTTTCTAGCTCAGACTTTCCAACTGGGCCTCTGAAACCTAATTTGATTTCTTCTGCTTTAAAATGCCAGAGTTAGGCTACCATTGTACCACAAGTATTATGCCAAGTGAAATAAGTCAGTCAGAGAAAGACAAATACCATGTGATTTCATTCATATGTGGAATTTAAGAAACAAAGCAAATGAGCAAAGAGAGGAAAAAGGGAGAGAGAGAGAGGCAGACCAAGACACAGACTCTTACCTGCAGAGAACCAACTGATGGTGACCAGAAGGGAGTGGGGGTGGCGGGAGGGTTGGGTGAAATAGATGATGGGGATGAAGGAGGGCACTTGCGGTGATGAGCACCGGGTGATGTATAGAAGTGTTGAATCACTGTATTGTACACCTGACACTAATATTACACGGTATGTTAACTAACCGGAATTTATTTATTTATTTATTTATTTAGATTTATTTATTTACTTATTTGAGAGAGAACATGAGCAGAGGGGAGGGGCAGAGGGAGAGGGAGAAGCAGGGTCCCCGCTGAGCAGGAAGCCAGATGTGGGGCTCAATCCCAGGACCCAGAGATCATGACCTCAGCTGAAGGCAGACGCTTAACCCACTGAGCCACCCAGGTGTCCCTAACTAACTGGAATTTAAATAAAAACTTTAAAAAATAAAATAAAATAAAATTCTGTAGCTCCCTTATTTTATGACCAGGCTGATAGCTGGAGTTGGGCAAGATGAGAGATATTGCATGTGACATACCTTCTTCTCTGCTACATGAAAGAAAGCAGTGAGTATAGAAAGGAGGGCACTTGTGTTGAGCACTGGGTGTTACAGGTAAGGGATGAATCAGTAAGTTCTACTCCTGAAACCAATATTACACTATATGTTAACTAACTAGAATTTAAATAAAAATTTGAAGAAAAAAAAGAAGAAAGAGAAAACAGTCTTCCCTTTAACTAAGGGCAGAACCCAGAGTTCAAGTATTCTTAAAGCTCAGTGACAGTACACACAAGGGTGTGGCCTTCTGAATTCAACAACGAATGAGTTGCAAATAGGTTCTGTGATGTACATCAACTCCCATGGGCTGATAGTGGCTGTTCAGTGTCCTGTGTTGAGAAGGAAGCTGAAGTCAAGTTGGGTTCAGCATACCAATGTTGGCCATAGCAATGGAATAATGTGCCACAGAATTGCCATTTCTAGTGTAATAAGAACAAAGACTTGAAATGCTGGCTTTATTCAGTTGCTATTGTAATAAATTACCTTGGGCAAAGTAGACCCGATTTTTAGCCTTAGTTCTTTATCTGTTACATGAAGGGTTTGTGTTGAAAGAGCTGTGAGCACTTACTCAGCAATCGGAATATACAGGATTGATAAATGGCTTGAGGCAAACTTTCTAGTCCCTACTGGTCAACCCATTCAATCTTATCTATTAGGAGACCTTCAGTTGCTTCATTACCTAGTCATATTCTTTGGAATGAAAATGAGATACCACTTATACCCAACAGAATAGCTAAATTTTCTTTAAAAATGATAATATAAAAGATGATTAAGGATGCAGAGCAACTGGAACTCTCATACATTTTTTGGTGGGATATGAAATGATACCACCACTTAGGAAAAAGTTTAGTTTTACAAGAAATTGCAATAATTTTTCCAAAGTAGATGTACCATTTTATATTTTATGACTTAGCAATTGCAGTCTTGAGAATTTAGTCAAGAGAAAAGAAAACATATGTCCACAAACCAACAAAAATGTTCATGGAAGCTTATTTGTAACAGCCCGAAACTGAAAACAGCCCAGGAATTCATCAATAGGAAAATGAATAAACAAGCCATAGTATATCCATACAATGAACACAAAAGAAAAAAAAAAGATACATACAATAGTATGGATAAATCCCAAAACTATAAGAAGCAAAACAAGCCTTACATAAAATAATTCATATGGTATAATCATATATATGAAGTTCTAGAACAGGCAAATCTAATCTATGATAGAAAAAAAAGAGTGGCTGATTTTGGGGATTGGGGTAAGTATTGACTGAGAAAGGGAATGAGAGAACTTTCTGGAGTGATGGTAATAAATATTTTGGTGTATATATGTATATATATATAGAGAGAGAGAGAGGGAGAGAGACAGAGAGAGAGAGAGAGAGAGACAGGAGTTTAGGTTACATGTGAATGCCTTTGTCAAAACTCAGGAAGTGCACACTTTGGATTTGTGCATTTCATTATTGATACCACCATGGGGAAAAAAGTGTAAGCAAATACTGAATCCTAGTCAATAATTTGCAAGCTGAAGCATTTAGCACAGAGTATATTGGTGTCTAAAATTTGAAATGGGTGAAAAAATTAAGATTAACTGATGGGTGGACAGAACAGACAGATAACCAGACATTTGATAAAACAAAAATAGTAAATGTTAATGGTAGACTACAGATGGTGGGTATATAGATATGCACTATAGAATTATTTCAACTTTAGTGTATGTTTGAAGTTTTCCATAATAAAATGTTGGGACAGAAAACATGAAAGAAATAATCAATGTGATTTTATTTTTCCTGATTCTATGAGTGACTCTCTCTGACCATGGCTATATTCCATTGTCCTCCATTTTAGTTCCCTGCCCTCAGCTGTCATCTTCCCACCTCTCACCAGCAGGCAGTTTTCTCCCTTGACAGTTGTCTCTTCATGAAACCTTCACTACTTCCATGTCATCTTCTTCAGCTCTTAGTGGTCCATGTGCCCCCCCCTCCTTTCTCTGCACTCTTGTAGCCTTAGACTTGGGTATTGGTACTCTGCCAGTCAAAGGAATCACTTTTTTTTTTTAAGATTTATTTATTTATTTGAGAAAGAGAGAGAGAACAGGGTAGGGAGGGGCTGAGGGAGAGGGAGAGAGAATCTCAAGCAGACTCCCCACTGAGCATGGAGCCCAATGCGAGGCTCCATCTCACAACCCCGAGATCCTGACCTGGGCTGAAATCAAGAGTTGGACACTTAACCAACCGAGCCACCCAGGCGTCCCTAAAGGCATCTCTTTTGAGAGGAGTGGAATTCTTCTTGTCCCTGCAGATTTGCTCTTCCCTCCATCTGGCTGCTTCCCTAGGAGATCCAGGAGCCAAACAAGGGTGCAGGGCTGCAGGACAAAGGGGATGCCATCTGTGGTGGGAGGGAGCGTGCCATCCTATCAGCCAGTCAGGGCTCTGAGTCACAGTAAATGCTGAATGGGAACACTTGGTCCCCAGGTGGCAGACCACAGGCTTCCATGCAAGAGACAGGAGCTAATTTTGTTTTCCAAATTGCCTTTGTTGTTCATCAACTGATATGGCATCATGGCTGATTTCACCTTCCTTGTAAAGCTGGAACACTCAACAGTATTCCTGAATTCTTTGTTGGCCACCAATACCTAGTGCATAATGCTAAATTAAATCAAGTATTTTAAGGTTCATTTACTAAATCTATTAGGCAAGCAGACACATTTATTAAGCCAGACCTCTGTTAATTCAAGCAAATTGGCCTTTCAGAGCTTTATAAATCCAACAGGCAGCTGATTGACTTCTCTGTCTCTGTACTTTGTCCAAGCTGCAGGGCCAGCCCATGGTGAGACTCCTTGGAATAATACTTTATTCCCTGCCTAGGTTGTGGGTTACATTCCTGCCCACAGAGAATCCCTTATGTGCAACAGGTCACATATTATCCACTGAGCCCAGAAAGATACTGACAAAGCTCTGGGTGACTACTTAGTTATGGGATTTCCACTTGACTAATGGAACAAGGAGCTTCAGGGAAATCTCTGAATGCAGCCTACACCAGTTCCCAGACGCTGTAAGTCAAGTTAATACTGAACATTATAAAACCTCCACAATCTAATTGTATCCCTTGCTAAAAGCTGCCATTCCCAAATTGGACAGACTATGCTATCACTATGCTTGCCTTACTTAAAGCCTTCAGCAGATTATACAGTTACATGTAAAAAAAGTGGAAAAGGCAAGATACATAATGGTGGATATACTATGATTAGAACTATGTAAAACAACCTGAAATATATATACAAAGACCAGAATGAAACAAAGCAAAAGGGTATCTACAGATGGGTTATGGCTTTGGGATTAATGTGAAAATTCATAGTTATGGGAAAAAATCCCCTCAAACCTTCACACACACACACACACACACACACACACTCAGACATATATCCAAAAGCTCATCAAAAGTTTAAAGTATCACTGTCCATGAATCTGGTTCTATCTTCTGTCATCCTATAATAAATATGAACTTCAAACAAAAATCATCATTTATGCCACTCAAAGCCACCTGTTATGTATCCCCCCTACCTTTCAGTTTTTTCTCTAAATTTCTGCCCAAATGAATCCTCTGTTTTGTCTGAATCTGTCTATACAGAACACAACCATGCCTTACCTTTCCATACAAATATCTTTCCCTTCCTTTGCCTCAATTCTACTGTTTTTTCAAAGCCAGGGTAAGACCAACTTCATCCATGAGTCACTCCATGATCAGCAAGGTGTGCATCCATCACCATCTAGGCTGCTTGACTGGGCCAGTAACATTACATTCCTACCACCATATCTTAGAGTACCTATAACTTCATATTCTCAAATGGATTATTTCTTAAAGGAAACAGATGGAATTTGCACTGATTTGTATTCCTCACAACATCTAGCACAAAATATGGGCCCTTGAAAAAGAGCCACAGAGCTACTGATGCAATTTCACATCTCCCCTGATAGGTCTGTAGGCATATGAGACTATTATTGGATTAGGAATGCTTGCTCTCTTCTATTTACTTATAGATCACAGTTGTTCACCATCACTGCATTTGTGTCCATCATGCCTTCTCACTTGGACTATAATCTTCTTGAAGGTAGGGACAATGTTGTATGTGCTCCTCTATTCCAGAGAGCACCAACTGAAGGGCTAGATATAAAGGCAGGGGTGAATTAATTCTTCTTGAGAACTTGATTTAATTCAACCATCTGGGTGAACCTGCCCAATTCTCTTAGTCACAACACACACAACACACACGTGTGCGCGCACACACACACACACACCCCATAAAACATTACTTTCCAAGATTATTAGCCTAAGTGTTTTCTCTGAAAAATGGGATAATTTCTCCATCAGTAATGTCCTAATGATTATATTAAATAATGTGTATGAAGAGCCTCCTACAAAGCAGAAGTAGGAATAAATGCTCAAAATTAGCTTTTATAGATCAGTTTGCTACTCAAAGGGAACTAAAATAGCTCCAAAATCAGAGTGCTCACCAGAACACTCAAAGACACTCATTAATTTGCTAGTCAAATATGGTGCTCATTGGGGCGCCTGGGTGGTTCAGTTGGTTAAGCAACTGCCTTCGGCTCAGGTCATGATCCTGGAGTCCCTGGATCGAGTCCCGCGTCGGGCTCCCTGCTCCCTCTGACCCTCCCCCCTCTCATGTGCTCTCTGTCTCTCTCATTCTCTCTGTCTCAAATAAATAAATAAAATCTTTAAAAAAAAAATATGGTGCTCATTGGATCAATTATTGGGCAATGAGGTCATCTTGATGTGTTTCTGGTATGGTGCTGGTAAAAAGCACTGAAAATACACCTTGTTCAACTGGACCAAATAACCATTCTTCGAGGTGGGAGAGAAACCTATAGAACCAAGTCAGATACACCATCGAGATGTAGATGCCATTGATGTAAATGATGAGCACGACAGTGACTAATATTTTCAAGTGCTTAGATTCTAAGCACATCTAAGTTACTAATATTTACTATTACTAATTACTACTTGATTACTATTAGTTACTAATAGTTATTGATGTTATTATTCTGACATTATAATGACCAAAACTGAGGTTCAGAGAAATTGCATGATTTGATTAAAGGCACACTGCAAAAAGAATCTGAGTCTGGACTGCAACCCAGATTTATCTTATTTCAAAACTACTCTATGCTGGGTATTTGTGCAGCACTTCATGCTCAAGCTTATAGATGGGAATTCCTAACTGAAGCAATATGTCAGGTCATCATCAAACCAAACCAAAACAAAACAAAAACAAACTATAATGCCATTCTGTAATTTAAAATTTCCTCACTTAATATGACATATTATAGATAAGCTAGATAGATATTTCAAATAATAATTCAGTGATGTTCATGGATTAGATATTAGTATCCTTGCTCTACCCAAAGAAAAAACACTGAGATTTAGATCAGGTGATTTGTTCAAGTGAACACAGATAATCATTAGAGAAATAGAAACTTGACTCTGCAGTCATTTTATCTACTTCTGTATTTATCAAAATTTATTGGGTACTAATCTAGTAAGGGTCTTAAAATTCAGGTCTTAGAATACTAAAGAAAAACAAAACAAAACACGGAAAGGGGAAAAATGGCACTGTAGAGAAATGCTGTGTCTCTGGCTCCTCGTGGGTTCTGAGTAAATCACTGTGTTGACAATGGCCAATAACTGCCCTCCTTGTGCACAGGAGCCTCAGTAAAGTTCAACAGGTAAATGAACACTTAACAGAAAAAAATTCCCTGGCTGGACAGCCAAAAGTTCTCAGCAGAGAAATGAACTTAAAATCCTGTTTCTAATTTTCTCCTCCCAAATGATTTTCTCTTTTTTCATTCACCATGTATGCATGCAGGATTTTAGGGTCTGTAACCTCTAGAAGACAAACACAGTGATGCAGCTAAAGCATCCTTGGGCTGGGGGTGGAGCATGGTAGCTGGGAGTCAGGAGACTGGGTTATACAATTAACCAGATGTTTGACCTTGGGATGCTCATCTCACACAGGGAGCTTTACTTCTCTAATATACCAAATGGGGATCTTAATAACCAACCTCTGTATCTCTTGTCCTGGTGAATAATAAATTCAGAAATGCAAAAGCATTGTAGCCTATACTAAGAAACTGACTTGAAAGTATACAGCATCAACAATTCAAACAGAAAAGGGTCCCTTGGGTCCATAAGTGTAGTTCTTTTGTCAACCCATCCTAACTCCCAGTTTTTATATCAAAATTAAAAGCATCCATTTAGTGAGTACCTAGTATGTGCCAGGGAGATATATAGCATCTCACTAGATTTCACAACAGCCAAAATGATACAGGCATTATTCTCTCCAGTTTGTGTTGAGTGAATTAAATTTTAGGTCAAATGACTTCCTCAGGTTCACACAGCCAGCAATGTTACTGTGACCCCAAGGTCCATGTTTTCACCACCATATCATGCTGCCTCCCTAAGAAAGAGCAGGGGTGAATCTTCTCCCACTCTTATCATGCAGGGGCTGAAGTTCTTTTTGGTCATCTCTAAACAAACAAAACCATCATTGTTCATTCTTTTTTTTTGAAGGAATTACTACACCAGAACTGAGAATTTATTTCCCCTTTCTTGAGATGTCCAGCATTTCTAAGTCTGATATGATATCTTTATTAAATTATTTTTTTAAAATGGAAGATCTCAGGGTGCCTGGGTGGCTCAGTCGGTTAATCATCTGACTCTTGATTTCAGCTCAGGTCATGATCTCAGGGTCATGGGATCAAGCCCCATGTCAGGCTCCACATTCAGCACCAAGTCTGCTTGTCCCTCTCCCTCTGCTCCTCCTCCTGCACATGCTCTCTCTCTCATAAATAAATGAATAAATAAATAAATAAGTAAATAAATAAATAAATAAATAAATAAAATCTTTTTAAAAGATGAAAGGTCTCTCTAAGATGAGCAATGCCAATCACATCAAGAATGGCCAAGGAAAATGTAAAGACAAAATCAAGAATAGAGAAAAACATTAAGCCCTTGCATTTAGGGACCCTCCGCCCAACTGCTCCCAGCTCCTCATATATATAAGTGTGGTCATTGCTGACACAACTGTCACCATCACCAGTAGCTGGGAGCAGGGAGGATGTGCCAAGTTCAGAGTCTGGCCCTCTGAGTTCCCTTCTTAGAGACTTGTCAGCATCGCCACGGTTCCCACAATGAACCTTGACCTTCGTAGATCACCTAGTAGGTCTTGGAGAAGGGTTCTTTACATGCATTGCCCCACTTGATTTTCACAGCCCTGCATTTAGAGAGAGAATTCACATTTCCAGATGGAGTCACTGGATCTCAGAGATGCTAAGTGAGTCCTTTAACATTATCTATGTTGTGAGTGGAAAGCCCAGGATTAAAAAAAAAAAATAGGGCAAATGAAGTTTTAAAAATATTGATTATGGAAGCAAGTTTGTAGAGCTTCTCAAGGTACTCTTTCTTCCTTAGGATTGTTTGAACTTTCCCTATTATAATAATGAACCCTGGTATAGAGACGTATGTGATATTCAATTATGTGGATTCATAGCTTTACTAAGTACTCCCTATTGCTCCCATCCCCGGTGCCCCCAACATCAACATGGCAGCTGGAGCATAGGAGAATTCAGTACAGATCTACTCAAACATGCATCAGAAAGGGCCAAACCTTCGTGCTATTGCCAAACCACCAGAAATAGGTAAGGGTCCCCAGCTGACTGGGCCACACAACTGCACTGATGTTGACCTCCTTATTTCTTATGGCGACAAATGGCACTCGGAGATGAACATGTTCCACAGGACCTGGGGGAACATGGGAAACAATGTCAGTTTTTCTGTTCCTGGAATAAACAAACTTTATCATACTCCCAGATTCTTAATCTTAACCCCTATTACCATAAACCATAATAAAACAAGGATCACAAACTCAGAAATGTTGAGATGTGTGCGTGTGGTTGTGTGTGTGCATGCTTGAAACAAAGCACCTGGTATAATAGGGAACTCAAATCAGGCTTCAGAATTTTTGAGTGACATCTGAAATTCATTTACATCTGATGTGCCCAACCATGAATGCTTATGAACCTCCAATCCAAGGACAAAACTAGTTGACTAGACACTTAGCCAATAAATAGGAAGAGAAAGAGCAGTCTCTTTCATTTCTGACAATTAGCCTATATTGTGATGTGGGGTCAGTGCATCACATGAAGGGCTCTTCCATTATCCTTGATGGTTAATTGGTTCCATCCTTTTCAACAATCCGCCATTGTGCCAGTCATCTGCAATACTCAGTGGGTGTCATTCAGAAGCTGGCAAGGCTGTTTTACAAAAGGAAAACGTGTCTCTCCCTAAATCAAAGGAGAAACAAAGGCCACATTCCCAAAGAATAAAAAAAAAACTGCTTGCAGAAAGGTGACCAAATTTCTCTTCTTTCCCCTCAGACAACTGATATAGCAGCAAGAGAACATACACGAGCAAACCCTACCCATAATAAATGAGGACTGTAATTTAATTCATTTCCAAAATAAAATGAGAAGAGGAAAGAAAATGCTGATGAGAAATATTAATGTGTCAGTGTCGCACTCTGGGATGGGGATGTTATTTTTCAACTCTGGGAGGGTTTTCTCCTCCCCACTCCTTCCTCCCCTCCTTTCCTTTTTCTCTCTTTCCCTTCTTTCCTTCTTCCTCCTTTCCCTTCCTTATATCTCTCCTACTTAACCAAATCCAATTAAAGTATTCTGATTAGCTGTTTATACTCTGCTAGTGCATAGTTTCCTAGTTTCCACTATGATAGAACTGATGTGCAAATGTGGCTAAAGGTCAAGACTGCAGTCCAAATGTCTCCTTAGTCTGGGGGCCTTGAGTTCTTCTCACAGGTGAGGCATTTTCCTGATCACTCAGCCTTCACTATTTACATCGTGGGTCACTTTGGGGACAGCTCAGCTTAAAGGGAAGACAACAGATGGCTTCTTCTCATTTCTGGTCTGGTTTAAACGTAGCTGTGTGATCTTTTCCTCCATCTTCCAGAGCCTTGACCCTACACAGACTATTTCCGCGTCCCCTGCCTTCCTTATAGGAATAAGAACATATGAATAGGATGTGTGGATGTTAAAAGTACAATTGCATTAGTTATGGGTTGGCACAATTTCTACCACCATCATCACCACCATTACTGTCTCCGTGTATCATTGGGTAGATGTCCCTCGAAAACAGTGGGAGTTTGTCTGAGTCTCACGGTGTTGTAGGTAAATTTATGTTGGGGGAGAAGGTGTTGGGACAAAGACTGATGTTTAAGTGAGGGGAGCAGCCTGGTCAGCTTGTCCCCGTCCACACTGTACTTTCCAGAACAAGCAACAAGTGTTCAAGAATCTGTGTATCTACTGCCTGAGAATACTCTGCCTACAGATTGACCTGACCATAGACAGATGACCCTCAAGGTTTCTCCCAGCAAATAATTTCTTCTAGCAAATCATTTCAACCTTGCTGCTTCAGAAACACATTTGCCTGAAGGGTTAATTATTTTCAATAAGAAAGTCTGCTCGATTATTTTTGTATGGTTTGACTGTTGGTGAAAATAAAAAAAGAAAAACACAAGGTATGAGAAAACACTGGCTCTTTTTGTGACTTTATTTACTCATTTGTAGGACTTTATCTGATTTATCTTTCTTTGTTGGTGGTGTTTTACTGATCCGTGGGGAAGAGAACGAGGCAGTAGGAAGGAGTGCCCGGCCAGCCATGTCCTGGCAGGGAGGCGAGAACTCTATGTCTTATGCTAACACCTCAGAGTCTTTCTCGGTGCCCAGATGCCGAGCTCATTCCTCCCCTGCTGGGAAAAGGGCCCTTTACCCTTAAAGTCAATGCTCCTGTTATTTCTCTCCCTCAAAACGCATGAAGCTCATTCCTCTGCCAGCTCTTCAGAACCCCAGGCCTTTCCACAGTTAAGTGACAATACTGCTAACAGCTTCTGGCCCTGGAAATTCTTCTCAGCTTTCTGTCACTCAGGGGCCTTGGCCCAGCCACACACTGTCAGGTACCTATGCCTAAAAAAATAAAAGGAGATCTCTTTCTCCCTAAACTTATGCCAAACAAAGGGATATGGCTTCCATGAATTGGCACGCCATCAAACATAATCACATTTATTCCAGCTTTAAGACAAGCATGTTTGGCTAAATAGAATCTCAAGGAACAACAACATGTAACAGCTTTTTAGGGCAAAGAACCTGAGCCAGAAGCTCCAGGCTTCAGCCTAGGGATGGACAGACCATAAACCAGGGAGAAGAGAGCTGAAGGGAACACAGCAAACTCCTCTAAGATCCTGTCAAATAGTGCTCTCTTTGATAAAAATCTAATAATCTGTGTGAGATTGGTTATTATGGGTGGCTAACAGCTACTTTTGTTAGCTAATGGCCCAAGGTGAGGCCAAGAGCAGTTTCCACTATAATAACTGTCTGGTAAATGCAGCCATGATTGATGTGGAGGGAATTGTGAGCGTGATAAAAGTTTCAAGGAACATTTCCTCCTTCATGCACATAACCCACAGTATAAATCGGTTCCTTGCTGTTGTATTTTTTGCCACTAAGATACACTGGTCTTTGCACCCTTCAGGCAGGTCCACTATTGGTGGAATTAGGAATATGGGTGGGGCAGGGGGTTGGGATAGAGGAAAGTAAAATTTCTCTCTTTGTCTTCATTTTTAAATGCAATGGAAGTGCCAGGCAGAAAGTTAGTGGGTAGTATTTAGTAATTACTGGAACAGGTCACATTCATCATGGGCCAAGCTGGGTGGTAAGTGGCATTGTATACTATGCAGGGAAATGTTAACATAGACCTGAAATTGCCATCCTTAAAAAGACTTGTGTGCAAGATTGGTCCTTGCTAGCATCTGGAAACTTGGCTTTGAGACTGTTTCCAGTCAACATATAAGTGATAAGAGTGGTTCAATACGCCTAGACTGTTTATGCCAATAATATGGTTTAATCTAAATATGTATTTCCCTTAGGATGTCTGGAATTCTGGCATATGCTAGGCAGAGGATGCCTACTTGACCAGTCCCCAATAAAACCATGGGTACCCTATGACCCAGCAATTGCACTACTGGGTATTTACCCCAAAGATACAGATGTAGTGAAAAGAAGGGGCACATGCACCCCAATGTTCATAGCAGCAATGTCCACAAAAGCCAAACTGTGGAATGAGCCCAGATGTCCTTCAACAGATGAATGGATATAGAAGATGTGGTCCATATATGCAATGGAATATTACTCAGCCATCGGAAAGGATGAATACCTACCATTTATATCAATATGGATGGAATTGGAGGGTGGTATGCTAACTGAAATAAGTCAATCAGAGAAACACAATTATCATATGGTTTCACTCATAAGTAGAATATACGGAATAGTGCAGAGGACCATAGGGGAGGGGAGGGAAAACTGAATGGGAAGAAATCAAAGAGGGAGACAAACCACATGCGACTCTTGACTCTGGGAAACAAACTGAGGGTTGCAGAAAGGGAGATGGGTGGGGGGATGGGATAACTGGGTGATGGGCATTAAAGAGGGCACGTGATATGATGAGCACTGGGTGTTGTAATCAACTGATGAATCATTGGACATTACATCAAAAACTAATGATGTAGTATAACTTGGCTAATTGAATTCAAATAAAAAATAATTAAAAAACAAAACAAAACACGGCTACTGAGTCTCTAAGGAGTTTCTCTGGTAAACAGTCCTTCTCACATGTTGCTAAAACTCCTTGCTGGAGGAATTACACATGTCTTGTGTGACACCATCGGGGGAGGACTCTTTGGAGGTCACAACTGGTTTCCTCCAGACTTTGCCCCATGGCTCTTTTCCCTTTGATGATCTTGCTATTTCCCCTGTAATAAATCATATTCTGAGTATGATTATACGTTGAGTTCTATGAGTCCTTTGAGTGAATCAACAAACATGACGGAGTGATCTTGGGGACACCTGAACCATACACATAATCCAATCTGATTCTCATAGCTTCCCTATAACATAAGTATTCAAGGGGCCTCTGGGTGGCTCAGTTGTTAAGCATCTGCCTCTGCCTCAGGTCATGATCCCAGGGTCCTGGGATCGAGCCCCGCATCAGGCTCCCTGCTCTACGGGAAGCCTGCTTCTCCCTCTCCCACTCCCCCTGCTTGTGTTCCCTCTCTCGCTGTGTTTCTCCCTGTCAAATAAATAAATAAAATCTTTAAAAAAAAAAAAACATAAGTATTCAAGATGAGGAATCAGAAGTTTGTAAAGAGTATGAAAGTTGACCAATATTATATGTTTAACAAAGGGATATGATCAGATTTCAAACAGAGGTCCCTTTGCTCTAAACCCTGGCTTATGAATACCTTGCACACCACTTGCCTGGGTTTTTGACCTGGTGCTTCTGGTGCAGAATGAGTAGAATTGGTGGAGTGTGGCCCATTTCTAGCAGCCCCTGCCCTCCCCCACCAGAATGTAAACTCTGCCAGGCCGAGGCCATATCTGTATTGTTGCTTCCCCAGGTCCTTGCAGAACACCTTACATATATATATTAAGAACTCAACAGACATTTGTTGAATAAATTAGTAAATAATTGGATGTTTTCTTTATATTTCCTACTTGTTGTTATAAGAGCCCCATGAGGCAAAGTACCAGTTAGAATTAAGCCATTTTAAAGTTGGAGTTCAGAAGACCCACAGAAGAAATAATTTATCTCATGGCCATGTAGCCTGGCATCTTTAGGGACAGAACTGATCTATAATCCAGGTGTCCTCCCTTGCACACCCCCTATCACTGTTGGTCCTTACGCTACTATTAGGATCAAAATGCTAGGAGACTAGGTGGCTTACGGTTTTCCAGAAACCTTTTAAACGTGGGTTGTTTATATAGGGGAATTTGTCATCACTGAGTTGGAGGTACTCTTTGTATTCATTTAGACTCTTTTAAATATACATTTCACCATAAGTAGCATATTACTCCCAAAACATCGTGGGGTATATACATTAGAACTACAGAATCCCTTACGCCCATGAATATCACTGATAAAGGCATAGGAAATCCATACCAGACCCATAACCATATGTTTTGACCCAACATTCTAAAATCATACCATTTAAGTTTTAGTTTACATGAATTCAGTCCCAGGATAGCGGATACACAAAACATATCCCGGACAAAGTACTTTGGAAGTTCAGCTGTTGTTTGCTTTGTACCAAGCAACAGTCAATAGTAATGAAATACGTTCTAGAACAACAAAAAAAAACTGGAGAGTCTTTACAATTGTTCATAACAGCAATGAACTTGCAGTAACCTTGTATGTAAGAATTAAGTTCTTTTGTGTGTTCAGGACTACATTTTTAAAAATCCAAACGTGTCTCTTTAATCCTTCTTTGGCTCTTCCAACGGAGATTAGAAACTTACTTTGATTTGGGCTGCCTTCACTTATCATAGCAGCTTGAAAGTGAACCTGTGGCCATGAGTCAGATGAGTTTCTTCTTCCTAGATCCTTAAGAGTCTCCAAAGCAAAGGGAAGGGACTTTGACATGAATGTGTGTCTGCATGGGTACACTTCCATCAGAACACAGTGGAACTGAAAAGAAGGGGCCAGCCTTTTGTTATCCCAACTTGCAAAATAATCTACTTCAGTATCAGAAAACTGAAACACGGATGAGCACACATCTCAGTCTTTCAATTTGGGTCATTATTTGGGGTAGTAGTCACACCAAATCTAGTCTCAGCTCCGCATCCCAGAAGTCTGTGGACAGTGGGAGTTATGTGCCCCGGGAAGGTACATAAGAAAGGAGGCGGTTCAGGCTACTTACAAACCACGTGCAGGAATAGGACAGCTGTGTCCGAGCCCAGGTTGTTCTCCGCATAGGCCATCACCTGGAAGATCCCCGCACTCTTGTACACGTGCTTGATGCCATCCTCAATGGGGCTGAAGTTAGCATAGGACACCGCGATTCCATCCCCAAAGTCAAGCTGGATGTTTGTCCTTTGGAGATCACCCTGAAGGAGGCAGGGGTTGGGGGGAGAAGGAAGGGGGAATAGCAGTCGGCCGGGGCTCATTCACATAGTCCGGTCTGACTCCTATTGGATGCTTTGTCCTGTGCCTTCAGCATCACCCTCTTGGGGACCCAGAACCTCTCCCAGGGGGCTGAAGCACCCTCCACACAATCATCAGACTCTTATCAGATATCCACTGGGCACTATAGGCAGGTATTATGGACCTGTTATCCCCGCATGCCCAAGCTTGGGACAGCCTGAGCTGGTTGAATGGGTGCTAGGGGATAGCGTAAAGCCTCTAGGGAGCTCTGGAGTGGGAAGGCCGAGAAATTCCCTGGCTCCCTCACACACTTGGTTAAATTATTCCTCTCCTGTGTCAAAATCATAACAATAGCAATAATAGTTAACAGCTAACACTTATAAAGTTTCTTTCCAGTTCCAAGTAATTAATCTCCTCACAACTTTATAATGCAGAAAGCATTACTTTCCCATTTTACAAATGGGGACAAAAAGAAATTAACTAAGTAGACCCAAGTCTCACAGCTAGTAGTGGAAGAGACAAGTTTTGAACCCAGGCAGTTGGGTTTCAACACTGATGATCTCAACTACATTGCTATAATTATAATTGTTCCTATGTTTTGAGATTTATTATGTTATAAGCATTTATGCTAATCACTTAACACATACTCTGTACACTTTCAAAATAACTCTGTGAGGTAGGATGATTATTCCCAGTCTAGACATGAATCCTGCATACGAATCAGAATTACATCTGTGCTCTGTTGACCTTGGATTTCCCTAAACCTGCCGAAGCCCCTCTTCCCCGAAGCCTTTTCCAACCATCCCACCTCACAGATATCTCTGCCTCTTGGAAGGCCAAGAGCCCCCTGGGTGCTGCCTGCTGGTGTAAGGGCATATGGGTTCAGGTGAGTGCATCTTCCCATCCCAAGTTGATGCTCGGCTTCTTAAGAGCTGATGTTGAACCCCACCCTTCCTTGTTCTTCTTCCCACTACACTGGGTCAATGACTTTGGATAAATGCAATTGAACCTGACCACAAAACAAGGATCCTGGATGAAAAAAGAAGCATCGACTCTCTCTATTTACAAAGATAGTTGATGGAATAAAAAGGGATATACGTCATTTTGGAATTACGAGCCAATCCTTCTGTCCAGTGAACGTGCACTGCTCACAGTTTCGTGTTCTGCCTCTTCCCCTGTGGCAACCCAGATGTGAGTGAAATATTGATACGTGCTCCCTTGCCCCCCACACAATGGTGACTACTCTTGAGTTTATGAATATAAATTGAAGTGGAAATGAACTGGAGGCAATTCAAATGGATAAGATCATGGCTCTTCTCATCCATTCAAGAGAAGGTTTTTATAATGCTGGTCCTGGAAACTCCCTAGTGGAAATGTGATAATGACCTGCTCTGGATCTTAAAGTCCTTTAATTCAAGTGCCCAGTGTGGGTGACGGCTGAAGAACCTGTCAACCCAGGATAAGGAACCTTCACTGTCCTGTTCAGTATGGGCCAGGTTTTAAAGGTTTCTAAAGTATTCACATTTGGGAAAAAAAAACTCCTGGCCTGCTTTGGTCTCTTTCCAAGATCTTTAGAGCACAGAGCAATTTGCATACAAATTTAGAGGGCTTTGTAAATCAGGCAAGCTTTCTTGCCCCACCACCTCAGCAAGGAGTGCCTGAAAAGCTCCCTGGTTTGGGAAAGAGATGAAATAGCTCATATAGGGAGCAGGAAGCATATGACAGAGCTATTTCCATCCTGGAATGAATGAATGCAGGCTGATTTTACTGCCCCGATTGCAAAAGACACAAAAAAGTGAAATAATGGAGCAACTAGCTGATGGAAAAGCAACTAATGTGACATTCTTTATACAAATAAGTTTAAAGGATGGCAATAATCCTCCCCCACACTCACACTTATACTTTTAAGACCCTTTGAAAGCCTTGTGGGCTTTTTTAATCAGGGCGGTTTAAGGGTTAGAATAAAGCAAAAGAGGCTCCAGGGAGCAATAGAAAAAAATATGAATTCCCTTCTTCTGGTGAAGTTTAGAGTATATGGTCTTCTGGTGATAAACATTCCTTCAACAAACCAGACCCTAAAGGGGGACCTCAAAGAATATATCCAGATCTGCATCTGCCCAGAGACAAGTGGGCCCCCTGTAGCCTGGGTCTGTGGTGTGGGATGAAGGGAAGAGGGTCCCTAAATATCTAAGCCTTCTTTTACCCTTTGTGTCTTCTCAGCATTGACTCTGAGACAGGGACCTGTGGGGACACATGATCTTTTTCTTCCCTCTCTAGAAACAGTGAGTTATGACCTCAGAGACCCAGGACAACACATACCTCCTCCATGAGGATGATGAAAGTCGCATTATGCCCCTGCTCTGCCACCAGGCGTCCATCGGTTGTCACCACATGGAGGCCTCGAGGGGCTTTTCCGGGACACATCTGGGCCTTGGCTGTGTACTTCTCCCTCAGCCCGTCCGTGCAGTTGTTGGACACAATCCGCCGGTACCTGAGGAGTATTGACAGCTGTCGGTGGTGTGGGGTGAGTGTGAGTGAGTGTGTGCATGCGTACACACGCACAGATTAGAAAAAAGAGTGCAAGAAAGCCAGAGGGAGAGATGTTTCACACAGCTGCTCCTAAAAACTGAGTCTCAAAGAAGACAGCCGTTTAAGAAGCCAAACAAACGCCGAGGACCTGCTATCCCTCCATCTGAGGAAGAGCAGCTCTTTAAACATTATTATTGATCCTACCTGGTGAGCCACGGATCAGATCAGTGTCTAAACCAGCCAAGAAAAATCAATGTCTGACTCACATGCAAGACGGAAGGAGGCAGAGTCACTGGACTAGTAGAGCAAGAAAAGCAAGTGCTCCTTTCTGTGAGGGAGGGACTTGTTTGTACTTCCCTATGGCCGTCTCCAGTTCTCTCTGTAGCTAGATGCAGCTAGAAGATCAGACTCCTAACTCTGATTCATCAGGTAGCCTCTTCCTGCCTTCCCTCTACCCCCAGGATATCAATCCATCCTTTCCTACCTACTAGTCCTGGCTCTGGAGCCACTGGGCTATTTTACAGCACATTTTCTCTCCTTACTAATATTTCACTTCCCATTCAACACAAATGCCAGATCAGAAGCACACATTTGAAGCTCCTATGCAATCCTGCTGAGGGAAAATTAGCTCAGAGAACGCATGGGAAACCTCCCCACAAAGCACTGTAGCCTTTTAGGACAAGGGCATCTTTGGGCATAGTGATGCCATATCATGTCACTTGACCACTGATCTGAGCACAGGAAGCTGAGCCAACAGCTTGTCCACTGTCCTGACCTGTAGGATAGACATCATTTCCACTATCTATAAAGCTGCATACAATCAACCTTCTGGTAAATCCACGTAATATAAATGCACCACCACCATCATTTTATCACATCTTCTTTTACCCTGTATGTCAGGAGTAATTAACCCAACCATCCATGTTACCTTCTTCTGATGGCCCTTCAGTTGAAAGCAGATGAAACAAAATCCTTTATGAATGATATTTATCTTCCACTATACCTGATATTTACCCTGGTCCTTTCTCCACTTCCCACCCCCCAAACCCTGCTGAACTACCAGCCCAACATCTCCATCCAAAGATCTCAGGAGGATGTTAGGCAAATGTTGTGTGTAGTTACTACCTCAGACAGAATTACAATATACCCCCTTGCAGATACACATTATTTTTAATTGCCAGCTGAGCTCATAATGGGTCTAGAGCTATTGCTGTCCAATATGCTAACCATTTTTTACCTGTGGCTATTGAGCACTTAAAATGTGGTTAGTTTTGCACGTTGAAATGACACTATTTTGGACATATTAGGTTATATAAAATATATTATTAAAATTAACTTTGCCTTTAAATTTTTCTTAATGTAGCTACTAGAAAATTTTGAATTACATATGTGGCTCATATTATATAGTTCTTTTAGTCAGCACTAGTCTACGTAATCAAACTTCTGTAATCAACTTATACTTTTTTGCTGACTTTAAGTCATTTACAAGATATTGAATTTTTACTTATGGCAGATATTTTGGTAGGTACCATATCCTACTGTGAACTGGATATCCTCTACTCTTTCTCTTCAATCTCAACTGGCCAGCTGGTTAACAATTTGTAATCTAAGCCAACATTTAAGCAACCTAGAGATACATGCAGACATTTGTAGTAAATCTTTTGAAAAAATACAAACTGTCTTTCCTTTTCATCTCCCTGATTTATTTGGTTGGCTCTTTGGGGTTCTGTTATATGTAGGTTGCTTAAAATTGGGTGTGCCTATAGGAGATGTTGTAATGCAACTCTATTCCAATTCTGTCCAAGGTATGTTCTGGCTTGGAATCTGGAGGCTTAGCTGATCACTTGTGACCATCATATTCCTCTTCCTCAAACTTCATAGCACTATGCTCTCTGATGCCATATCTCTTTAAGTTCATGCTGCTGGATCTGTAGTGTGAATGGCTTCAATCCCTGAACCAGACACTTACAATAAAATAACATCAAAAGTGCTTAAGCCCCATCTCAAGCCCCAGCAACAGTCCCCTAGAACCAAATACTGAGCTAAAAATTCTTGTTTTCCAGTAGCTCACACAACTCAGCACATCTCTTCCATCACTTTTTTTCTCTCTGTAGACATCACTTGGGTTGATGGTACCTACCAGTATTTTATATCCAGAGAAGGTAAAAGTACTGAGATGGTGAGTAACTGGTATGAAATGGCAGAAGATCCACTGGAAGAGTTGAGACAGGAGTCCAGAACACCTTCATCCTCTGCTACTCAAAGAGTAGTCCTGGGACCAGCAATGACAGCATTGCCTGGGGGCTTCTCAGAAATGAAGAACCTCTCAGACCCACCCCAGATCTACCAAATTAGAAGCTGCATTTGAACAAGATCACCAGGTGATTCACAGCACATTACAATTTGAAAGGTGCTGTCTCAGACCACCAATCCATTTTCCAAATCTCTTCTGGGCCATCGAGGTGGCAAAGGAGAGGGGAAGACAACAAGTCTTTAAGGCAATATTTTTTCAAGCACCTGAGTAACTGTATGTGAGCAGAGAGAGAAACACACACATAATCTGACAATTAAAGAAAGTGTAGCTTGACCTTCTTATTTCAGGAAGCCCTAGAATGGGACTTCTGAATTTTCAGTTTCAGTTTCCAGCATCAGTCTAGGAGAGCTTCAGTCCATCCAACCCTGGAGGGCACTGTAACACGTGCATACCATTTGTATTAGTTTATTTTTTCAGGGTCCCCAAAATAAGGTGGCATCTCTTTCCAGAAGAGAAGGCCTGACCAAAATAATAGCTATGGTCTGTCAGAGGCAAATGGAAAAAGGTACTGAAATCTAGTAATCACAAATCTCTTCAGATGTTTCCAAAAAAGCTAAAGAACTCCTCAGCTTTCCTCAGAAGCCACTTGTAAACAAACTCTCTATGGTCCAGCTTGCTTCAGCAGAAATGCTACCTTTGATACCAACCTAGGGAAACAGAAGAATAGCGATTGGAGTTTCTTCCGTTGTTTTACTTACCCGGTGCTGTTAAGGTAGCTTTGACCAAGGCTGCAGTCCTTTGATGGGGAGGCTGGGTTGTACCAGAAAGCTGGGACACACTGGCTCTCTCCATGTCTCTCATAGCCATAGTCACTGTTCAGAAAATGAACATTGCACACTGGTATAGATGCACAAATGCTCAAACACTCCCCCATACACACAAACACAAATACATCCCTACAGCCTTCCAAACAGCCTCAATGCATTTTTTCAAATATTCCCAGCAAGAGCAAATATTCGTACTTTGTGAATGGAGTTTTAGATTTAGAAATAATCCCAAATCATTAGAAATCCAGTGTAAAGAAGGAAAGGTGCATTATCAAATGAAGATTCCAGGTAAAAAAAAGGTATGGAAGTACATCCTATAGCAGGTACCCTGGCTGGAGGTGGGTGTCAGGGATGCTAGAAGTTTAAAAGCATCCTCTGGATTGCAGTGGAATTACTGACAGAAGTAGGTGACAATGACAACCAAGAAGATGATATTAAAGGTCAAGATTCATTTCTGGGTAAGAGTCCACAGATGTTATTCCAAAATTAATTTCATAGATTTTATTTTAATTTTTCCTACAAATTCTTTCTCAAACAAATACAGACATTTGCATTCATATAATACAAACAGCCATTCAAACGGTCCCAAATACATATAACACAGGTCCCCTGTTTCCTTACAACCAACAACACAAAACTGTGGTTCTTTTCCACGTTTTCATGAAAGCCTAGCTATGATAAAATAAAGAAATGCAGGTATGATTCCCTTCTCCTTCCCTCCATTTCAAAATGAGTGTAGAGAGGAGGGCCCCCATCTGAAATGCAAATGGTGTTTCCTTACTTCTTGGAGTTTCATAAGGCTCCCATATGCATAAATGTCAGGGTAGAAAAAGAGCAATAAAGTATTATTGCTCTTGAAACCAACCAGAGGTCAGTGAGGGTGGCTTCACTTGGCAGGAGAATTCATGTTTCTAAGTTAAGCATCCTGAAACCCACAGACCAGGCAGAACAATCTGGACATTTGAATATTGATCCATTGAGTTAATGAAACATAAAATAGCAAGGAAAGTCACTCTCTCCAGACCTACCCCTCCTTTCTTTTTCTGCTCCCATGTTCTTTGAGCCAAGATTTAATCAAAGCCCAATGAAAATGGAGGCAAATTTTGGTCTATGTGTGTGACTAGGGCAGAAATGGAAGGAAGATAGGAATACAAGTTCAATTCCACGTTTATTTATTACTCAATATGTGCACTGTCCTGGGAAAGAAGAGCAACAATCCTTGCCCTCAAGGACTTTTGAGTCTTTGGAGAGAGGGATACAACATGCCTCAAATCCAACCAAAGGACACAGACCATGAAGCAGAACATGATAATACACTATGAAGTGGTACAGTTAGGAAAGCACCAACTGATTATAGAAAATGTCCTCCCAGCATTACCACACCCTATCTCCTCAGCGTCTTCCTCTACACCAAACTCCTACCTGACCAGTCCAGACCAACTTTTCAACCCTCTTTGTCTCTGCATGTGAAGCCCTCTACCTTACCTGTGTCTGATAGTTTGCTAAGTATCCTTCTTCAATATCCAGGTCAGATGAGGCCTTCCCTGACTCCCCAGACAAAATCTTTGTGACCACAGCATGTTGGCAACTCTGAAGCTACAGAGACCTCTGTTTGTTTTGTTTGCCAATATAAGAGTTCAGACCAGTACTTAGGATGTTGGAGGTACTAAATATTTACTGGGTGAATGAATACTCCACTAATGTTTTAAAAATCACACTAATTATCTCATTGCATTGGGTCTATCCGTGCAGGGAGATGTGAGCCCATAGTTGACCTTCCTGTGTGGACCACAGAAAGCATCCCAAGTGCTCCAGGTTCCTGAGCTAGGAAGGTGGAACTCAAGACCAGCCTTGATATATCATGGCCATGTTTATATGAAACTGGAAGAAAAAGAAAAAGGGACATGTCTGTCAAGTGAATTTTTAGCCATGCCTCCTGATCAATGATTGGAGATCTCCCAGCCTGCAAGTTCACTGTGGACTCACTGTTGTGGAGGGTTGTAACTGCTCATGAGAATGGACTTAAAATTTCTGGAATTTTGCAAGCTCATTAATGGTTGTTAAACACAGCCATTCTCAAAACTTAAGTTATTTCAAATTTTAATGAAATAAATTCTATTTGAAAGGTAACAAACACTCAAACACACAGATTCCTCATGATTTTGTTGCATTTATTATTATAAAAATATTATGTTATATATAAAGCATTATGTATTATGATTTTACCTACGCTCCTGAGGTTATTTACCTTTATGTGCCTGTGTGGTAAAAAGACTATATAATGTTGTGCTACTGCACATCTCTTCTCAATTCTGTATTCACTGATGTTATGTTGGTAGCTTGAAATCGGCCACATTTAGGGATATTTATAGCAATCAGCAAATGCTACTAATAAGGGCTTATTTATTTGTTCCAAGAGAGCTGGTAGTTAAATATTTACCAACACAGCACTGAATATCTGATTTCTAAGCAGTGCTTACCTGCAGAAACATTTGGGCTGTGGTGTGTCTGCACTGCTTCTAGAAAATTCCCCAACTGCTATATGAGTTAAATCTATTGAATGTTCTGCTAACCCTAAGAAATATTAGTAATCTTTGAAGGAAGGATGCCCTCCTAAACAGCTTTGGGAAGGAAGTCTTAATGCTCTTTCCTAAATGTAACCATCTTTAGCAGTTCTGTTCAGCTCTGCTACCTGTTAGCGATGTAGTAATTAAAAAAGGTGCATCAGGCATGCTGTTTTGCCCCAAGAGAAAAAGCACCTCATTAATATTTAATAACATTAACGGAAACATCACTGACTGCCCCTAAGCTGTGGGCTTCTTCATTAACTTCTGCTAAATGTATATTAAAATCTCATACTGCCCAACCTATCCCCCAGCTCTGGAGTTCTCATGATTTCAACAAACAAGCAGTTCCAGCAGCTGCTCCAACTTCCTGGGGGAAAGGTATTTTTCTGTTGAATTGTGACATTTGGAGAGAATGTGCCAGAAAGTCTGATTTGCCTCGGGGAAGTATGCTGCCATAGCTTCTGCAAACACACAAGCAGTTTCCTTCCAGAAATAAGTCACCTCTGCATCTTTCTTGACTATAAAAGGGTTTAGAACTTCTAAAAGTTTAGGGAGAAACTTCTCCATTTCCAGATGTATGGCCTCCAAATCCCATTCAGGGAGAAGCCTTAGACCATCTAAAGAAGGAATAGACAAACTTCAGAAATCACAAAGCTTCTTCATATTAGAACTGGAAGGGATGCTTGTATTCGCTGGGTCTAATCCTCTTAGTTGGTAGATTGGGAGGGAGAAGCAAAAGAGGAGAAGTGTTCAAGATTTTACACAGCTGACAATGGCACATGGAGTTGATAATGGAGACTCCTGACCCTTGAATCAGCATTAGTACAATCTCAGGGGGCACCCACTTAATCGTCATAAGGGAGGACCCCCTGATCCCCAGGAATGACATTCTGAGACTCTTGGAGTCTGCCCAGAAGTCTTGGTCTCTGCTGGTGCAGCTGCTGGGGCTGTCCTACTCTCAGGCCACACACAGCCCTATCATTGCTTCACGGACCCCCAGTTCCTCCGTTCTCCCATTTGGCAGCTGAGATTCCAGAAACAGTCCTCCACAGGTGTTTCTGTCCCATTTTAGGAGACAGAATCGCCTGCTGGTTTGGGATCGGGCAGATAGAACTTTTTGGCAGGCGCAGAGTGAACACTCAACAAACTGGAGCAACCATAACAAAAACATCAATACAAACAATGGAATAATAATTAACATTGTCAGCATTTCGCTAGGGCATAAGCCTAAATATAGGCATAGAGAAAGATGATTACATTCGAACTATTTCAGAAACTGTTTGAATAATCCAACAAGCATCCCTCAAATATTTCTCCTTATCAAACCCCATGCTAGCCATCTGTCCTCATCCCTCTACTCATCAACAACTCATCCCTCAACTCATCCCTCTACTCATCAACAGTCTCATACATCTGCTTTTTTCTGCAGTGCTGCCCTTATTCCTTGTACTCGACAGCAAGTCTACACAGCTCCATCACCACCTCCTACAGGAAGGCTTCCATCATTACTCCTGTCTTCAACACTCTTTGCTCTATCTCTGGCACTTACAGGTAGGACCAGTGCTGTCTGAAAGAACCTTCTGTTCTACATCTATGCTATCCAATATGGTAACCACTAGCCACCTGTGACTACTAAACACCCAAATGTGGCTAGTGCAACTGAAGAACTGAATTTTTAATTTTATTTATTTTTAATGCAAATAACCACGTGTGACTGGTGACTACTACATTAGACAGCATAGGTCTGGATTATAGAATTTAGTCCCTAGTAATATTATTATTTGCTGTTACGCTTTCATTGAGTTTGAAACTCTGGTTCATACATCTTTGCTTTTCTACAATGCTAGTCTACAGAAAAAACATACATAATTGTGCTCTATATGCAGGATACTTACCGCTGGATGGATTTCAGACACACCTGCACTTAGTACTATAGCATCCCCCTATCTCTTCCCTCTCTCTTCTGCATTACCACATGATAAACTCATTGTGTGGATCTGGAACCATACTGCCCATGGAAGGAAACACTAAAACACACCAAGACTTAGGACTCTGGGTCAGAATATTATTATTTTGAAGGAGTTACTTAACCTCTCTGTGTCTCCATGTCTTCATCTATAAAATGACTACAATAACATATTCTCCTCCCAGAAGCTGGTTGAGAAGATTAAGTAAAATAATCCATCTAAAGACTTGGTGCATAGTAGGTATTCAGCAAAAGTTACTGCTGAGTGAGTGGTTGGATGAATAAGAAAATAATTTCTGGTTCAACCTGGTTCTCGCCGAACAAAGGTATTTGCATCTCTCAGATGGCAACTCCTTTCAAGGAGCCTCATATGACTTTAGAGCAGGACACTTAGGCTCCTTTTTCTGACTACCCACTAGTCCTTGACAAACTTAATTCTCAGGGAGGATTTATTCCTGGCCCTTCACCAGTGCCACAATGGAAGTGGCTCTCTAGAATACACATGAAGCTAC